GGCAATTTCTCAGGCCAGATTTCCTTGGAAGCAACAGCACTTGGTTCATGCTTTGAACATTTTGCGGAGATACAGCGTTTATAGTTCACAAAAAGTACCAAGTAAAAAATTTTCACCTCAAACCTTTTGCATGGATTCTACTTCAGAAGAATCAGCTTACTTGGACCGTAATAGGGTTTGGGCCAAAAGAAAGAGGAATTTTAAAAATTATTCTCTGGGGTCTGTAGTGAAGGTAGAACTGTTATGGGAACTAGGAGAAGCAGTTTTGCCTGGAGAAGAAAATTATGAGCAGGTAAATGAACCATCTTTGTCTCAGTCTGTCATCAATACTGAGAGTCAATGAAGATCAAAAGAGATAATGCACACAACGCACCACAGACAGTGCCTGGCAGCCAGTAATATTATTTGTACTATTATTAATATTAATATCTAGGGCTTCTCTGGTGGCGCAGTGGTTGACAGTCCGCCTGCCGATGCAGGGGACACGGGTTCGTGCCCCGGTCCGGGAAGATCCCACATGACGCGGAGCGGCTGGGCCCGTGAGCCATGGCCGCTGGGCCTGCGCGTCCGGAGCCTGTGCTCCGCAACAGGAGAGGCCACAGCAGTGAGAGGCCCGAGTTCCGCAAAAAAAACAAAACAAAAACAAAAAAATTAACATCTACTGTTAGGAATCACTGGAATGCACACCAAAGCTAATTCTTATACGTGAAGAGGATACATGCATATGTTTAGCCTCCAGTTGTAAGTAAGCAAGGCATTGTGCCAAATCCTAAAACTATAAAGTGCGAGAAAAATTATCTGCTCCCAAGAAGTTTACCACCTTGCAGAAACTGTAACTATACATTTAAAAAATAAACCTGAGATGGGCAAATATCAACAGGCAAAAAAGGCTACAAGAATTTAGAGAAACTCCTCACTCGGAAAATATTTTTAAAACCTTCTCAAAGTATAATTTCCTTGATAATATATAATAGGAACAACTTTTTTAAAGTCATATCTCCAAGTCTAATAGGTTTACAGGTTACAAAGGTGACAAACAAACGTCCGCACAGATAGCTGGAAAGCATTCCAGCATTACTTATATAGGACTGTTTAAAGGATGTTAATTTAACATGCTTACATTTTATGAATGTGCCTGTGTTTTTCAGAAAGCAAGCAACCACCTTCAAAGCAAATAACATTCCTCAAATCACTCTAATTTGACTTCTAGTCCCATTATTCCCCCAAACGGCTTTCACTGAGATCTTGATGAGATCTTCACACCATTAAATCCAGGAGACTAAAAAACCAAGCCAGAGAGCTACATGGTCGAGGCAAGGCTTAAAATCACACCAAGAACTGACTCAGTAGAGACTACACTGCTACCACCATTGAGCACAGAAACTTAAACATTTGTTGACTGTCATTGTATCAGTCACATAATTCTATTTAAAACACTTAAATTGCTCCTGCTAGTATACTGGAATTCTTTTTTTTTTTTGCGGTACGCGGGCCTCTCACTGTTGTGGCCTCTCCCGTTGCGGAGCACAGACTCCGGATGCGCAGGCTCAGCGGCCATGGCTCACGGGCCCAGCTGCTTTGCGGCATGTGGGATTTTCCCGGACCGGGGCACGAACCCGTGTCCCCCGCATCAGCAGGCGTACTCTCAATCACTGCGCCACCAGGGAAGCCCTGGAATTCTTTATGAATTAAGCACACCGCCTACCAAAATTGGCACTGTGCCATGTTGAAGGTCAGCCTCCTATGGATCCCATAGCTTACGTAGAGAATGCAGAAAAATTCCATAGAAGCACACATCTGCATAACCTAGGAGCCTGTAAATGTTTACTGAGTGATTGTTCCTTGGAGCTTTGCAGAGAGTTTCCTACCTTCTTAATTCAACAATAACCTTAGTGCTCCACTTCCAAGTAACTCGGAAGTTTGTCAAATGTAAACGACTATGCAGTCACCCACGTTCCTATAATAACAGATTATTCTGCACCCACTTTGTATTATGTTCTTAAAAAGATGTAGGAGAAGGTATAATTTGAGTACAAACTTCAGAATTTATGTTGTGCATCTGGGATTCCTATGCCCTTTTTCTGGTTCTCAAAAGGGAGTGACTGTTCAACTATCACGAGCATGGCTCCTAACCATTCACCTGACATTCATTGTTGTCACACAAGAAATTTGTATCGTAAACAAGACACCACCAACAAGAATCATACATGGAGAGGGGTTCACATTTCCCCTCAACAAATCCTTAAAACCATGCCTTTGGAATTTGATCACACACAGGGCAAAATAATCAACCTCTTTTATATAAATTCCTGCATTTTAATTTCAATTATTAAATTATAAAATATTCTAAGTAATAACAATGTGTTACTTGTTAATGATGGCTACCTAAATTTAATAGCAAATGATGTTACAGGGCTTATCAAATGACGTATGCATTTAGAAAAGCACCCTAAATTTTAATTACTAATTGTTCTTACAGTATAAATTAAAACTTTCTCACAATATAAAAATCAGTGTGAAACTATCTGTCAGGATTTCCTACAATATAAATCTAAACAGAGCTAACTGAGTACAGTACAAATAAAGATTATTTTAATCTCACCGATAATATACATTTTCCTTTAAGATCTGTTATTATCTGGCATGATTGTGACTATGAAGAACAGCCTCATTGACACTGAAAGCAAATCACTGATTAAATGGTTTTAGCTTGTTTACCTTGAAAAGTCTCCAAAGCATCTAATGTCTAATAAAACAGTATAACAACTGATACAATTTTTAACAAGTTTTTACCTTGCAGCATTTGATACCTGTCAACTTTTATGAAATCACTATGTTCAACTAGTCATTTTGAGGAAAGTAACCAAGTTCTTTTTATAGATATTAACAGCACCAACACATATGTGAACTCCCTGTCAAAAGTAACCTCCTACAGGCAATGGGAGGCTTTTACTGCCATGCTTTTTTAAGAACACAAACTACTGATTCATGCATGTAGTTGAATCTATATTTAAACAATCTTACTGCGATATTCTTACACTCAGTTTTCTCTTACATTCTCTAAATCAAAGGTTCTCAAAGCGTAGTCCCTGGACCAACAGCACCAGCACTACCTGAGAACTTGTAAGAAATGAAAATTCTCAGGTCCCTAGCCAGAACTGAATCAAAAACTCTAAGGTGAGGCCCAGAAACATGTGTTTTAACAAGCCCTGCAGGTGATGCAGGCTAAAGTTTGAGAACCTCTGCTCTAAAGCAAAAAGATGTTCTTTAGCTGTAAAGAAGTTTTTATCCCTTACTTTGGAACAGTCAATTTTGTGGTATCCTGTGTCTCTAAGCCCAAGATGCCATTATCATTATAGAATACACCAGAGTTCTTTACAAATGATACCAATTTTTTAAAGAATTTCACTTAACCAAGATTTTAGAATATGGCATATTCTCAATAAATGTTAAAATATTGATGCACACTTAACTAAAAATGTGGGTTGTAAGGGGAAAAAAGCAGCATGATATTATAGAGATAAAAATGGATAATTTCTTGTCTGTCATAATTTAAACAGATTCTTCCCTATAATTAAGGTCAAAGAAAATAGGGCTCTTTCTTACTTTTCCCCATTGGTATTTTATGGGTCCAGAACTTGTGCCATTTATACAAGTAGAGTCATGTCTGCATGATGAACGAATGAACAATATACGTAACACATATTCCTATACAAAGGCCTTCAAAGGCCCAAAGAATGGATAGAGAGGAACTGGTTTATTTTGCCAGTAGCCTGCATGGTGTGGCCTATGTTATTAGAAAGGCTAAAAACTTTAAAAAATAGAAGAAATGGATTTGACTATAAAGATATGCACCTCAATTTCTGCATAAATATATAAAAGATACTAAGAGTAAAGCTTTGGGCAAAGCAATATTTTCTTCCCCTTTCAACCAGAGAAAAAATAGGGATCAAATTTATAGTATGATGTATTTTGATTATTCTTTTAAAACTGTTCTTAATTTCATTTTAAGAATATCATTCCCTATTCTATACAATTGTTATTACATGCATCATAAAGCTGTGGGTCTCGAATTTTCCTTTCCCTTAGGAGCTTTGTAAAAACCATATTTTATATGCGAAGTACCCAAAGTAGTGTGATTCCCACTTTATAGCAGATTTCCCACTGGAATACAAATCTTTTGAGAATTTTTTCAATTTAAGAAGAGAAAATACTTTTATAGAGCAACATAACTTGCATGAATAATTAATCTTTCACAGACATCACTGTCATTCTAGAAAAAACACTATATATTCTTTTTTTCTTTGCACTTAAAGACAATGATAGACTGTGAACTTGTCAAATTTTCAGTTATATTAAGAGGAGATGATGTGCTAAGTGAAGTAAGTCAGAAAGAGGAAGACAAATGATATCAAATGATACCATATGATATCCCTTATATATGGGATCTAAAATATGACACAAATGAACTTATCGATGAAACAGAAACAGACTCACAAGGATAGAGAACAGACTTGTGGCTGCCAAGGGGGTGGTGTGGTGGGGGGAGGGAATGGGAGTTTGGGATGAGCAGATGCAAATCATTATATCTCTATATGGATAAACAACATGGTCCTACTGTGTAGCACAGGGAACTATATTCAATGGTTTTCTATATGGTTTTCCTGTGATAAACCATAATGGAAAAGAATATGAAAAAGAATGTATATATATGTATAACTGAATCACTTTGCTGTATAGTGGAAGTTAACACAACCAACTATACTTCAATAAAATAAATTAAAAATAAAAAAGAAGCTAGAAAAAAGAGGGAGATGATGATACATCACGAAAATAAGAAATGTCATGGCATGAGTTAATAAAATAACTTGCCTGAAATAAATCACAGAGTGTTTATAGTAAATCTATCTACCCAACAGATGGCTAAACCCATTAAATCAATTTCACAAGGCTGTTCTAAGTTAAATTCATTTACATCAGAGAAAATTTGAATATAATACCTGAGACTGTGCGTTAATATTGGCTCCTTCCTTAACGAGAACTTTGACAACTTCTGCTTGTCCAGCCAAAGATGCAATGTGAAGGGCAGTATTTCCTTTCTGTTTTGGAGAAACAAAATGGAAAATGTTGGAGGCTTCCAAATCTTGTAGAAATCAAAATGTACAGGTATTTTCAATTTTGCTGATGATTTGAAGTGGTTAAAACTTGTCATTCTATCAAGATTGCAGCCCCCCTTGGGAAAAGATAATTTTTACCATCAAAACATTGGCCATCCCATACAATGTCTTCCTTTTCTATCCTGCACAATTCCAGTTTAGTGTTAAGAACATGAAAAGACTGAGATCTTACTGAATCAAATAATCTGGGATGTGTGTACGTGCGTGTCTGTGTGTGTGAGAGAGAGAGAGAGAGGCAATATTACCATTCATGTTATTACAACAAAAGAGTCCTACCACAAGATAATATAAACTAAAAAAAAAAGTTTATCTGAACCATTGAATTTATTTCACCTTGCAGAGAAACCTAGGAATTTTCAGTTGTAGAGAAACTGACAATTCACAGTTGTATTTCGAGTCACTGGAGCACACGGTTGTTCAAAATATTTTGGGAATAAAATAATAAATTTCACATGAGCTATACAATGTTACCAATAATTTCTACCATTTGCTACGTCAAAATTTATCATCAACAGTACCAAACAAAAATGAAAAATAATTTAAACCTATCATGAAAAGAAAATATAGGCTAAGAGACTGAAAGATGCCTATCATAGGATTAAAACAAATAACAAAAAGAAAAATAAAAACCAAGCAAATCTATACATTCAAAGCCATAGATTTTGGACACTAGTTCTCTTTTTGCCACCTCCTCACTGTGGGTCTTTATCCACTCGAACTATTTTGAAGACTTACTTGCCTTCTCTTTAAATGAGGAGATTTAATGAGGTATTTTTCTGGATCTAAAATTTTACAATTGTAATCTGCGATTAAAAATGAACCTATATTTTAAAACATCAACAGAGTTTAAAGGAAAGGAAACAAACGATAATAAACAGTTAAGCAAGAAAGAGTGATTGGTTTAATGAATATATTAATATGAGCAACTCAGGGGAAGCAAATAATTTGATACACATTCAAACTGACATTCTTAAATATTTGTTTAACATTTATCTCATGTTGTCAAGAGAAATGTTAATAAAAATATTTATTCTCTCTTTAAAGTAAGCAATTTCTTGCAAAGCAAACATATTTTAACATCTTTGGAACTGCCAAAGAGTTCTTTGTTTGTTTTCGTTTTTAAATTTCCACTAGAACTGCTGTACTATACTGTGAGCAGGGTCAGTCTACATTTTGGCAATTATGTATGAGGTGTTGGAAACCCAGGTTAACTGGCCATATCCCTAATTTACTCCAGGGCTCTTTCTGTCTATCCCTGATTAGACTAATGACCCGGCCGGGGGTTTGAGTACTTGCCACCTCTCTCTGCAACTCCCACGACCAGACTGTCACACTGCAGCCCTGGTCAAATGGCGTGATTCTGATTGGCTAATGTTTTTTTTCCAAAGTAAAATTTCACCTTCTAAAGACAAAGATTTGTCACCACTGATATTTTTTTAAAACACCTGTTGCTTCTGAAATGATCCCCCAAAGACAAGGTTCAAATATATTTAACCAAAAGAAGTATCAACAAGGAAGTAACAGGTTGTAGTATACCAAGCATCTTGTAAATTCCTTTAAAAATGAGTCAAATTTCTTTACAAACACACGTTACAGTGACAAAGTCTAATTTTACCCTAATAATTCAATCCATGATCCCCAAATCCCTTTTCCATTACAGTATAAAAGATCTGTATATTCTCTTACCAAGTTAAATGAATACATTAAAAGATATAACAATTTAATGAAAGCATGAAAATTATTTGTTCATTTCCATTGAGAAGTTTACTATATCAATTATTTTAAAAAATGAATTAACCTTGGGAAAATAGGTGCTTTTGTCTACAGAGGATTATATTAGTCTAGTCTCTCTGTGAATCAAAGGAAAAAAGATAGAATACTAGAAACTAGAGATACAGAATTCTTCAGTCTCTGATAAGTCCCTAAACGAAACCATTCAAACTCTGCAAAGTTTAATGGACAGAATTTCAATTTCAGTTCTGCATTGTTAAGAATCTTTGGTGTTCCAGAAAACCTCTGAAATGTATAACCTGGGAAGAGAAGCTTTAAATCATTTCCTCTTTTCCAAGGAAATAAATTCTACTAGCATAAACACTACCTTAGTGGCAGAATCCACAGCGGACCCTCTTCCCAGTAGCTCGTGAACCAGCCCCACATGGCCTTCCTTGGCAGCCAGATGGAGAGCGTTGAGTCCATTCTGAGAAGAGAAACAAACAAGGCCTCAGAAGTGGAGTAATGATGAGGCAGACAGTGGCTGATCTTATGCAAGTATATAACCCAGAAGACGGACAGACTGTGATCCCCTCATTTTCTCTTTCTTTTTGCATTAGCTTGAAGCTATTAATTTCAGAGAGACTAATTTCCAGTGATTTTGATTCAGAGAGGCAAAGAGGTAAATATTCATTAGAAATGTGGATCTGCAACTTCAACAAACTTTCTTTTTAGACTAAGAAATATCTAAATGCTTTTGCAATGAGGAAAGAAAAAGAGCAACTCTGTATCATTTGTTGTGCCAGCCAGAAATAAAATTCTGTAGTTTCTAGAACATAAAGGACTTTAAATAAATCTTACTTTTTAAACAAATGGGAGAGAAATGTCCTCTTCATAAAAAGTAATTAGTGTCATAGGACAAATTCCAAGGTAAAACAACTTTGTAAGGACAACATTGTACTTAAAAAAACATTTAGCACTATGTCACTAATTTGTCTTGAGGGTTTTTTTCAAAAATTTATCTTATAATCTATGATAGTACTGAAATACCTGGTTCCCATCTATCTAAATTCCTGAAAAATTCATTACTCACCATAGCATTGAAAAAACTCTTTGAAAATTTCACTAAATATGGTATCTACATATATTATACTGACAAAGTTTGAAAGCATATCTTGTCATACATATAGGAAGAACCAAATACAAGTACAAATTGCTTCATGGCAAATTTCCTATTTGTGGTCATTGTATATCTTATACTTAATGACTTTCTTATGAAAAGTATTCAGGCTTTTATATGTGACTCAAAAATAAAGTAATATTTGCTTTTCTTCTTTGCAAAACATGGTCCTGGTTTGTCACCAACATTTAACTTTGAGTAGTTGACAAAGTTGTATTCAGTACTATTAATACATTCATGTCATGGTTTCCATATATTTACTGGCACAAAATGATAAGAATTAAATTTATTATTATCATTTATTAAATTAAATTTTGAAATTTATGATTATGTATATTCCTAGAACATTTAACAAATGAATTGACAATATAATAAAAACTTGAAAAATACGAAGTTTTATGACCCCTGGATTCTACTAGTTTGCAAATGATGTTAATGGTGTTGATTGTACACAAATGATTCCGCAAAGAAAATTAATTTTCACTCCCTTTACCAGACCAAGGAAAGCGTTACATTTTAAAGTTGTTTTCTGAGTTAATTACTCAACACCCAGTCTCCTTGGCAACAGGAAGTATTTGATTTAAACAGAGGTAATCTATTTCACGAACAGTAAACTCATTCTAACAAATAAGGAAGGGAAAGCAGTATGTCCATTGGGTAGGAATTTTTGTTGTTGTTGTTTTGTTTTTTTGCGGTACGTGGGCCTCCACTGTTGTGGCCTCTCCTGTTGCGGAGCACAGGCTCCGGACGCGCAGGCTCAGCGGCCATGGCTCACGGGCCCAGCCGCTCCGTGGCATGTGGGATCTTCCTGGGCGGGGGCATGAACCCGTGTCCCCTGCATCGGCAGGCGGACTCTCAACCACTGCGCCACCAGGGAAGCCCGGGTAGGGATTTTTAAGGAGCTAACTAAGCCTGATGATAGTTAAGAGCCTTTAACTTTCCCGATATCTTTTTTAATTTATATATTCTTCAGCATGACATTTATTGATTTTCCTACGTTGTTTACAGAAGAAATCTTTTACTCTGTATCATGAGCCATTGCTTAAATGTTTTGGAGAGTGGATCCATTCTTTCAGTCTGTAAGAATCAAATGTTCCAATCCTTGGGAATTGTTGAAATAGCCTAGCAAACTAATATTTAAATAATTTTGCATTTTAAGATGTTTCTTTTTTTTAAAGATGTTTCTTGTAAGAAGTTGCCTTTCCTTTTCCTCAATTCCTACCCTAGACTGGCTTGAAAATGATCTCAACAGTGCATTCTGAATGTAACTTTCTATGAAATTTAAAATAGAAAGGTTTGAGAATTAAGACTTTTTAAAGGTGAAAATTTTTATTTGATTACATGAGTGACCAACTTTCTGAAGGTTAGAGCATTTGTGATACTCTTCTCAATCTCCCACCTGGGAGATATTACTCCCGTCACTACAGCATCAGCTCAGCTGAAACCTTTAACTTGCTGTAGACCACACTGTTAGAACACTAAACTTACTATGTTCATGTTTCAATAAATATTGACAAAAACTTTTTTAAAAGTTAACAAAGGTAACAAGACACCATCTCAAATAGAATATAGTTGACACAATCTAAAAACTTATGAAGTTCAAATATATATTTAACTTAAAAAATTTCAGGAGACATTATTCTAAGGAGGACTCCAATGCCAAACTATTTCTCTTAGTTTACTCCATACTTTTCTTTTCATGAATACAAAATGTAGCCTACCTCATTTTCACACACACAAAAACACAAACAGAAAACATTTAAATCTGCAGAACAGGATAGAACATTTTCTCAATAATTGGCCAGCTTTCTTCTCAATTAATTACAAGGCTGGGATCTAAATTAAAAGAATTTTATGAGGACAAAGTACCTTTTTGGGCGGGCACAAAGATCCTACTACAAATCACTGCAATATAGTTGCAATTTATTTAAAAAGTCATTAAGAATATGATTAAAATTTTTTATATGAGGGAATAGTTCAGAAACAAAATTGTCTATAATATGTAAATCGAATTCAGGATATACATATGTCTTCAAGATTTCTGTAACACTAATACTAACAAAACTAGAGTGATTATAAAGACAGATGATAATAGGTGAAATTCTAATTATAAATGTTGTAAATTCTTAAGCTGCCTTCTTTTAAAATACAGTCAAATTGGGACTGCTATCATATCGTTGAATTCATGTCCTTCAGCTGTAGGAAACAGAAGACAAGCAACTTTCTTTAAGTTAATGTTTTGGTTTTAGAATTTCTAACCCAAAATATATTTAATTAGCAGTTGAATATGTTGGGTCATTGTTATCAGAAAAAGCAACTCAGCAGCAACTGGACTTAACACCAAAATGTTTGATCTTGTGAATATGAGCTAACATATAAATTAATCATGTTTAAAATGGAAAGTGATAAATAAACCTATTTAATAGTACAGCTCAGCTAACTCTTTGAGAATGTATTTTGTAGTTAACCCATTTGGGTGAGTCCCTCAGATCATGCTTCTAAAAACCAAATTTCCTATAGGAGCTACACTAACGCTCTTTAGCTTTCCACACTCTATTACCAATACTAGCCCACATTCCAAAGGATGTTTTGTTGTTAGATATTTTTCACTTTGTTGGATGTGGGGTGGGAAGGAGGCAGACATGCAAAACTGGTCAGACTTTTTGTATTTGGGTTCAAATACAGGGCAGGACTTAGTATTTTCCCAGGAATGCCTCCCACACATATGGTATTTGAGGCACATAGGTCCTTCTTTATATCAAAACAGAAGATATTGTCACTTTCTGCATTTATTAGGACACTCATGATGAGCTTACTGAGCTCTGGCTAAAAAGTGTTCTGAGGCAAACTCATATTTAACAGAAACATTAACTATTCATTCTCCTAGATTAATATCAGAGTAGACATTCAGTGAGATCACCAAAAAGCAACATACCCGGGACATGTTATCTCTGTTCTCTACAGAAATGGCTTCACGGAATCATAAAATGTTACTACAAATTTGATTTTTACATAAGGCAGATACAAGCAATGTCCATTTGAGCAATATTTATGTACTTGTGTCTATTTTTAGATGGGTTATCTTGATGAACTATTGTTGAGTTCAATAACAGGAAAAATTTTAGTAATAGGAAAAGCCACTATGCTTATTCTCACTAATCTTTAATTTAGGAAAATTGCATAATTCTATGTGTTTGTCTTTTTTCACAAGTTTACAGGAAACACAGAATAAATTCAGTATCCATTGGAATTAAGTAACACACATCCTTATTCCTCTTGTCTTTTTACTTGGTTTTGCTTTTGTCTTGTTTAGTTTCATTTTTAATAATATCAGAATTACAGTATACTAGTGAGTGTGTATATATTGAATATATGTTGTGCCACCAATACTTCATGGCAAAAAAAAATTGTCAGTGATTTTGTATCTCAAAACAGCACTATGCCAAGTGCTATTCTCACTTAGTTTTATGTATTCCCTACCTGATAGGATTTATAGACAGCAATTATACTTCGATAGACAGAGTTGCTGATTCTAATTAGCTACTCAGTGACTCAAAATACTGACCAACACTGTGGAAAAAACTTAGAAAATTTTAAATGATTTAAAAAAAAAATCAAAAACAAAATTTTAAGAGAAAAATTCAAGAATTAATTAAATCTGAAAAATAGTAGGCTAAGCAGTGAGTTAATATCCTCAGTATGTTTGAGAATAAAAACATTGGTATTATAATTCTGTTGAAGCAAACCTGGAGGAAAATAAATAAATTCACAGTAAAAAGAATTTAGATGAGCACTGGAAGAACATCCTTATCACTGAGTTAAAGAATACTGGAAATATTTCTTTTTAAGGTTTTAAAGTTTAAATATTTCTCATTTGTATGTGATTGACTGAATGTGGGGATTTTCTTCCTTTTTCTTTCTTCCCTTCCTTTTTATCTTTTAATTCTTCTTCTTCTACTATTACTTTTTTTTTTTCTTTTTCTTTTTTGAGACAGTGTGGTCAACTGCAGGAATAACATGGTGATGGGTATAATAAGAAATGCAATCTTCTCCTTGCTCCACTACTAACCAGAAGTGTGAATTTGGGCAAATCACTTAACCTCTCTGTGGTCTAATGGTCTTATCTACAAATAATATTTATAATGATGACAATGAAAAACAATGATGATGATGGTAAAGAAATAAACATTCATGAGCACCTGTTATGTGCCCATCATTGCTTTAGCCTTTTTCGGGGGGTCAGGGCAGGGATGAATGTACATTTATTGAAACTGGTTTTGGGGAGGATGGGTGAGTGGATAGTTATG